GTGGTTAGAACATTTAAGATGTATTCTTTAGGCAGTAAGAAGTATGTGCCACAGTGTGGTTAACTGTTGTCACCATGACTCTTCTTACACTCGACGCTTTTTATCTAAACCAACATATCCCCATTTCTTCTAGTTTAAGTGTGGATTTTATTTTATCATGGCTTTTTTTTCTCTCTCTCTGAAGGAAAAACAACATAATGAAATCTGCTATAATTTGGGGATATTCTATTTTTAAAAATGACAGCTCACTATAATGTGATTCCATATATGGCAGTATACCAAAAACACAATTAAAAATTTATTTTAAACAGAAAATCATGAATAGCACATGTCACAGTTTAACTGTGTGATTAATTTTAATAGCTAAAAGACTGTCTCTAGACAATAAGGCAAGTAAGTGAAGAGAGTTTGGACAAAGGTGTTATTCTTGATGGCCATTAGTGAAACTAGATGACTATAGCTTGATTGTACAGAGGTCAAAGAAATTACATATTGTGAAGTAGAGTTAATGTAGAAAATTTTAAGAAAAGATTAGACAAATTCCATAAGGAATATAATATAAAACCTATCAGCACAAAAAGTAGAAAAAATATGAAAAGCAAGGTAGTATACTTAGTGCCAACTATTAAGAGAAAGATGCAGCGCAGACTTTCAGTAGCAGAGGAGAAAAATCCAAGACAAACAGAGTAGAAGGAGGAGAAAGTTCTGATTTAGGTACCTGATGGAGCTTCAGCTACAGAAGCGGGCAGGAAGCGGCAGAGCCTGCTGCTGCTGCTGCTGCAGCCAACTCCACCTTCGTGGGGCTAAAGGCCTGCTGTCTGTGGCACGGGGGCAACTCCTGCACAGCTCCCATGACCAGGAGATCAAATCCACTTTCCTTTTAAATAACCCCCAAATGGCTGCTTAATGCCACCCCCTTCCCAACAGCCCCCTCTCTTGGACATCAGAGGTGGGATGGAGCCCATGGGGCTGCACAGGAGTCTTCCCTTCTAGCCTGGACAGTGTCCAGAAGTAGGGGCCTGAGTTTGGTGGCTCATCTGTATCCAACAGCTCCAACAATTAGCCCACCGTTGTCACCATTTCTTTGGAGATGAGCCATGCATTCTGATGCTGGCCTGTGACCTCAGTCTCAATTGGTGAAACAGTGTTAAGTTCTCCCCCAGAATTTGCAAAGGAAAAAGTGTGGGTTAATGTTGGGCTTATTTGCACGTGGCAGGAAGAAAAGTATCATAGAGTTCGGTGCAAAGCTGTGATCTTGGATTTAAATGTATTCTAAGTCTTCTAAGCCTATTGGAGTGACCATATTTCCAAGACCTGATAGCGGACTTGAGTTTTCTATAGTGGCAGTGAGCCTTTGCTGTGGGCACCCTGTGATGGTGGCAGGCAGTGTGGGGAGCCTGACCAAGGGATGCATATTTCCTTGAGGTTACTCAGCAGGTGTGCATATTGCCTCTGGATCCCATCAGACTCATCAGAAACACCAGTGGAGAAATTGTCTTAACTTAGAAAGAATGGATAAAGGAGTGTGAAGGATAGGAGACACTGGAATACAGCCTACCTTCTATAATGTCTGTATGTGAGAATTGTGGGTGTTTGATTACAACATGATTGGGTTTTAAAATTTATGCTTTTTATACTGTAGTACAAAAAGGCTAATTTTTCTTTCACTATCAGTATTTCTATAGGTGCATGAGAAATCAAAGATCTTCCTTGATAAATACTTAGGTCTGCAATAATGTTCAAATTCAATTGGTATTTCCCTGTTCTAAACATTGCAGTTAAGAGGTTAAGATCAATGTTGGTCTTTCATCACAGACAGGACTTGGGGATAGTGGAGACAGCTAGAACCATTCAGATTAAAATTTGACACAAGTCAATAAAAGTTTTGTAACACTGCATTATTAATGAATGTAACAGTATAACAATGTCAATAGAATAAAGCATGATAAAATTACTACATATGGTTACTATAATGAATTATAGTATTAAAACTCATAAATAAACCAGTTGAAATAATTCTTATTTTGGCTATTTCTCTACCTAGCACATTTCTTTTTTAAGGTTATTTATGCATACAGAACTGGGGTACCGGCCAGAAGTCCGGGGGCGGTGAGAGGATTCACCAGCGAACAGGCAGATGGATGATGTACACTGCTGAGGGGAGCAACGGGCGGGTCAGGAGGGGTCTACTTTGGGGCAGGGATCCAAATTGCACTGAAGCAGCTGCAGCCAGCTTGCAGTGCTGCGTCCTAACCCGTTGCATCAGCAGGGAGGGCCCCCTAGCACATTTCTTAACCTTTCAACTTTTCCACATCTGTTTTAACTGATGGTAGAATTAAACGGTACAATGCTTTATAGCCTGGCCATAGTAAACACACTTTGGGGTAAGCCGTAATTGCTGTCAGCATTTCTAATATTCACATTTTGGCAAATGCAATGTTCAAATGAACGAAAATGTAATATTTTAATTACTTGGATACCGGACACTAGCAATATCTACGCCTGCTTACCCCCCTCCCTACCCTCGCTCCCCCCGCCACCCCCCAGGGCACTGCACACCTTCGGAGAGACCCACTCTGGGAGGGTTTCAGGTTCAGGCCTGGGCTGCCCCTTTCCTCCCAAGTCACGTCCATCACGTCCTCCAGCGGTCCACCCAGCCCGCAAGTTCCGCTCCTCCCCTTCCCAAGAACCTTTCCTCGGTACTGCGGGCTGAGACCGCCAGCGCCCCGCCCCGGCCGCCGTCGGAAAGCCCACGGGCCCAATCGCGCGCGCCTGCGGCGGCCGCTGGGGGCGCTGGGAATTGCAGCGGCGAGATGTCGTGAAAGCGTCGCAAAAGCGTCCTTGGCGGCTCTGGGCCACCTGTATAAACCGAGCGTGCTGGGATTTGAAAATTAGTATGGAGGCAGCTGAGGTCCTCCGAGCCTGCGGGGACTCGATGGGGCAGCAGCTCGCCGGGGCCCCAGGCTGCTGAGCTCTCGCCGCCTGCGTCCCCGCGGCGCGGCTGCAAGGCCATGCTGGCCTCGCGTGTGGCGCGCGGCTCGTGGAGGGCCCTGCGTGGCTCCACATGGGTGCCGGGG